CTTAGTGGGACAGGACTTTCTTTTTTCAGCTCTGAGGGAGGGTCACGTGTTCCAGATGTGCCCTCTGTTGGTAAAACGTGTATCAGGGACACTCTGTGGAATAGCCCAGTCTTTCCATCACACTCTTTCATTTCAATTCTGAAGCCAGCTCTCCTTCCCAGATCCTCAAACACTGAAATACTGCCCCTGCCTTCCATTAGGTTGTCCTCAATTCTGACTGAGCTCTCTCTCCATCCAAAATTTATTTTTCTTTAATGTCCTGAGAAGCCACTGAATTTCCCCACATTCATATTCTCACCCAGGCTCCTTCCTGGGGGTGTGATCATTTCTCATCTAACGTTTTCAACCTAATGTGAGTGTTGCCCCAATCAACCTGTGACTCTTCTGTCCTGAGAAAGCACTGTGTCCCTGATGTGGTGGGAGAAAGACTCCAATCTGGAGGGAGCTGAAGGACACAGGGAAAGGTGAATGGATGGGTTTAGCAAAGACTAAGTTTCCTGGTTTTGATCTTGGAGAGGACGGCGGACAGAATAGGGACAGAGCATGGATTGTAGGCTCCTCTCACCTGTCTCCCTGGTCTGGGACCTATCTCCTGAGGCCACCAGGGGGTAGCCTCTGCTTGGATTTTGGAGAGGCAATAGCTGTGGTTTACCTGGGCCTGGAGGGATCTCAAGACCTTCCTCAGAGATCCATCTCTTTAAGTTACTGGATGGGGACAGACCCCGGAGGGAGGTGGTCACAGACTCAGATTTCATGAGACACAGAACATAGTCCTTAAGAGACCGACAGCACCATTTTTCTTGGACTCCTCATGCTGGCATCTGAATTTTATCCTCTGCAGAAACCAACCAGCCCACAGGGAGGGGCTAGTGCCCAGTGGGTGGGGGAAGAGATGACCCACAAGTGTGCCTGCATCTGAAACCCCTTCCCCTTAATCATCCTCATTGTTGTTTCTTCGCCCATCTCTGTTAGACCCACAGACAGAGGAGAATTTTACAATGCATCTGAGGTGGGGTTTCCTGCAGACTTTGGATTGGCTCTGTCAGATCCACTGTAG